CAGTGGATAAATAAAAGACTCGCCTTGTAGCCAAAGGTTTCAGACAAAGAGAGAATGTAGATTTCTTTGATACATTTTCACCTGTTACTAGAATAACATCCATTAGAGTACTAATATCGCTCGCTGCGATACATGATTTTGTAGTACATCAAATGGATGTTAAAACCGCTTTTTTAAATGGTGATTTGGAGGAAGAAATTTACATGGAACAACCTGAAGGTTTTGTAATCAATGGGTTTGAAAATAAGGTCTGCAAGTTAGATAAGTAATTGTATGGTTTTAAACAAGCACCTAAATAGTGGCATGAAAAATTTGATAACTTAATCATATCGAATGGGTTTAAGGTGAATGAAAGTGATAAATGCATTTATTACAAATCAGAAAATGACATTTACACTATCATATGTCTCTATGTAGACGACCTACTCATATTTGGTTCCAACATTCATGTTGTGAATAATGTGAAATCAATGTTGTGTAACAACTTTGATATGAAAGACCTTGTAGAGGCAAATGTAATCATTGATAAAAATTACTAGGTCAAAGGAAGGAATTTATTTGGATCAATCACATTATGTAGAAAAGATCCTAAAGAAATATAAATAATTTGACTGTAAACCTACTAGCACACCATATGACCCAAGTGTAAAACTTTTTAAGAACGCTGGTGAAGGTGTAAGACAAACAGAGTATGCTAGCATCATTGACAGCCTTCGGTATGCCATTGATTGCAATAGACCCGACATTGCCTATGTTGTGGGACTATTATGCAGGTTTACCAGTAGACCTAGTATGGAGCATTGGCATGCTATAGAAAGGGTAATGAGATACCTTAAGAAAACTATAAACCTTGAATTACATTACCAAAGGTTTCCAGCTGTCCTAGAAGGATACAGCGATGCTGATTGGAACACTCTTTCAGATGATTCCAAAGCAACCAGTGACTATATATTTAGCATAGCAGGTGGAGTTGTTTCTTAGAAGTCAAAGAAACATACTATTTTGGCTCAATCCACTATGGAAGCTGAGATGATAGCACTAACAACAGCTAGTGAAGAAGCAAGCTGACTTAAAAGCTTGCTAGTTGAGATTCCCATATGGGAAAGACTGATACCAGCTGTGTTGATCCATTGTGATAGTACCGCGGCTATTGCAAAGATTGAGAATCGTTTTTATAACGGTAAGAAACGACAAATACATCGTAAACACAACACTATTAGAGAGTTTCTCTCTACATGAGCTGTTAGAGTGGATCACGTACGCACTAAGAATAACTTAGCAGATCCTTTGACGAAAGGACTAGCTAGAGAAAAAGTCCATAATACTTCTAAGCTTATGGGACTATTGCTTATATAACAAAAATCACTCACGATGGTAACCCGACCTAACTGATTGGAGATCCCAAGAAGTAGGTTCAATGGGTAATAACAAGTCGTGAAGTGATATGAGAATGAACATGCTATGAAATTATGAGAAGCATGATTCTTGCAGTGTATGTTGTAACACCCCGAATTTTAGTCTTTAAAAATTATAGTATCAGTCCTGGAAGTCTCGCTTGAGCGAGAGATTCTCGCCTGAGCGAGAAAGGATCACATGGGAGGGTGAAATCTTGAGATATACTGGAGGATTCTCGCCTGAGCGAGAGATGTCTCGCCTGGGCGAGAAATGGCATTTGGGGCTGGTTGATACTGTGAAAGTCTCGCCTGAGCGAGAATCCCTCGCTTGAGCGAGAGGGGGCTTGTTGGGACTGTGAGATTCTCGCTTGAGCGAGAGGGTCAGATCTGAGTTTTTAAAATAGGCGGGATTTTCTCGCCTGAGCGAGAATGGGCTCGCTTGAGCGAGAACCCGATGACTGCTCTTTAAAATAGAAACCCCAAACACATTTTAGGGTTAGAACTTTGAAAAGAAGAGAGAGAGGAGAACTTTTCAAGAGCAAAGAGCCTTAGGACTCATCTTAGAGCTTGAGAAGAGGTAAACCTCTTGTTCCTAACTCTTCTTCTTCCTCTCTAACTTGTTTTGGGTGTGTTGGATCTATTTTCAAAACATGAGAAACCATGGAAACTCATTCTTTAGAGTTATGGTTCATTTTATGTTATTTTTCTCTTGTAAACTCTTGGGTTAGAGTTGATATTTAATGAATGGAAAGGTTTTGTGGGTTATTCATGAAAAACCCAAAAACCCCCAAAATGAGAATAGGAGTATAAAGAGAAAGAGATGAAATGTTAGATGTGGATGATGAGTTTGTGTTTTGATGTTGTTATATGAGAGGAACATGTATGTTTAGATGTTTGGAAACTGGTATTGAAGTAGTTTTTGGAAATCTTGAATATATGTGAATCCCTTGGGTATTTGATGATGAAATACGAGTTATTTATGTGTTATTTTGAATAAATGACTGACATTGTTATTATTCGTGAAAATGAGGAAAGATCCTAAGGTTGGAGGAAATCGCGGATGAGACTTTTAAAGTTACTCAGAACCGATCCCCCAACGCTCACCAAGGTAAGGGATAAGTGTCTCTAAATCATAGTTGCTGATATGAATGAGGTATGTGAAAAAGGTAATGGTTAAAAATGATACGTCTGTAATTTATGCATTATGTTGGAAAATGCGTGACTTTTCTGTTATAGCAAACGAAAGCAACATTATTGGGGGAGTACCAATGGAAATATGACTCAAACGAAAGTAATATTATTGGGGGAGTACCAATGGAAATATGACTCAAACGAAAGCAACATTATTGGGGGGTACCAATGGAAATATGACTCAAACGAAAACAACATTATTGGAGGAGTACCAATGGAAATATGACTCAAACGAAAGTAACATTATTGGGGGAGTACCAATGGAAATATGACTCAAAGGAAAGCAACATTAATGGGGGAGTACCAATGGAAATATGACTCAAAGGGAATCAACATTATTAGGTGAGTACCAATGGAAATATGACTCAAAGGAAAACAACATTATTGGGGGAGTACCAATGGAAATATGACTCAAAGGAAATCAATATTATTGGGGGAGTACCAATGGAAATATGACTCAAAGTGAAATCAATATTTATTGGAGTCCCAATGGAAATAAGACTCAGAGTAATGAATGTCGTATGCATGCTATAGGATATATAGTATGTGGTGTATATTTTATAGGGTGAATATGAATGATGAGAAATGTGAATGTCACATGAATGTCGTATGCATGCTATAGGATATATAGTATGAGATGTATATTCTATAGGGTGAATATGAATGATGAGAAATGTGAATGTCATATGCATGTTATAGAATATATTATGGGATATATATTCTATATGGTGAATATGAGCGATAAAAAAGAAGATGATTTGAATGTTTACGATTCTGTATTTGTGTTTACGAATTATATTAAAGCTTAATTGTATTTGAATGTGGATTATCATGTGATGTTAGTTTGGAACTAATGACTTACTCCCTTATGTTTTGTGTATTGTTTATGATGATCCCATTGTAGGTAAGAGAAGGATTTTGGAGAAGAACGCTCACTTAGGAAGCTTTGGTGTTTATTAACCTGTTTGTCTTATTTGTTACTTGACGTTGTAGTTAATTTGATAACATTATGGATGACTGTAAATCCGTTTAGATTAATACAGATATGTGTAGTTATAGGCTTTATAACTTGGGGAGACCCATAACTGGTTGTATGTGGTAAATGCTATTTGAATGAATCATGTTTTTTCCGCAACATAAATTTGTATGATAATATAATAGGGTAAAGAGTATTTTCAAAGAGTGATACTTGAGAGTTTTCAATGAAGGTGACGACTATATGTAAGAAAGGATTAAAATAAATGAAAAATTTTCAAGGGTAGAAAATCGAGTTGTTACATATGTAAGGATGAGTTAAACTTTTAATGAAATCTATACTCCAATTGGAGTGGAGTACCTAGACTATAGGAGTACTGTTGATAGACTCACCTATGTGAATGTGAAAGTGGGGGCCGCTTTCTATGAAATTTAGGGGCATAAATTTCTAGAGCGTTCACTAAACTAGGATAGACGTGCATGACCTTTAACGCATGGGCTTTATTGAATACACCTTTGAAAATGTTGTGTGTGGTTTGATGCTAGAGATAGAGTTCAAGACTACAAGTCACTCTACTAAAATCTGGATTTTATTCACTATGCAAATGTTGAAGTCGAATGACACCTTTGTTTATGCACAATCTTAATGAGACCACAAAAATTCCCGGAAATCGTTTTTTAATTTCAAGTGGGGGATTGTTGGAACTTGTGTTGTTGTGAAAATGAAAAAACTCACAAGTCCCACATAATGAGATTTTGAAGAAACCTCACAAGTCCCACATTGAAAGATTTTGAAAAAAATCTCATAAGTCACACATTGGAGGATGCAAGAGTTGTGACAAAATCTTATTTTATAAATAGAAGCCTCCTTTCTTCATATTTTCTCGCACCAAGTTTAGTACGCTTTTACTTAACCTTTTCTTTCTCCCTCATAATTTCCGCCGATGCATTTCCAGCAAACTTCTCCCCATTTCTTTCCGTGACACTAAGAATTGGCACTGTTTTATCATGGGATGGCGTGGTTGATAGTCTGCTTGCACATTTTGGGCAGTGCCACGAAACGTCTTAAAGAGAGCGACCTAGTCGTGACTCAGCCAGTAATTATTATTTCGTGTCATTTAGAATTGCTGCAAGTTACGGTAACAACATCAAATGATAGGCTTCAATATCTGGTACCAACAACTCAGTTATCATCATCATTAGTTCCATATTTCCACGATTATAGTCATATTATACTCAGTTATCATCATCATTAGTTCCATAGTTCCATTGATGATTTTGATTAATCTCAGATATGAAGTACAATCAACGTATCAGTTAGATCACAAACTAACTTATTAGAATTCATGTTATCATAACTTTTTAGTCCCACACTGCTTAATGTTTGATAGCTGAGAGGATTGTGTGCTATATATAGGACCAGTGGCCAATTTATAAAGCATCTTTGCGCTTGGGGCAATGACGCAGCTAATGAGGTTCTAACTGAGGCGCGTCTATTGCTGGTTGAAAACTATTTCCAAACCCCCTCTTAGGCCTGGGTTCAGCCCTGGCCTTCGAGAATTTCTGGAAGGGCTCCCTTTGGGGTAAAGCTCTGCAATTCCAGTATAAAATTTTATTATATTTATCCTATTGAAAGGTCGTCTTGGCTAATTTCACCTAATCTTTCTCTTCCAGATTTATTTGTTTATTTATTAGTTAGTGTTGTATGATTATATATTTATTCTGTCGTTGTCTCTGTTAACTTATTCTTTGTCTTTTTATGTAATGAATTATTAATTTATTTATCCTTTTTTATAAAATGAATCTTATTCTCTATTCTTTTATAAATGATAGAAATATTTTCTCCTTTCTTTTAAACATATAAAATTATAAACCTCTACTCCTAATTATATTATAATTTGCCTCTACTCCTAATTATATTATAATTTGGGGTGAGAGATAAATGTGGTTTCTTAAATAAAAAATAATAATGAATATAATTTAGTTAAAAAACATATTGTGAATATATGTTTTGTATAAAAGTTAATGTATGTTCATTATCTTGGTTAATTATAATATAAAAGTGATTTACACATCTTCTTAGAATTATTGATGCAGTTTGTAACGAATAAAAATAAATGTCTTTTAAATTATTTTAACTTATCTTCACAATATACTATATTTTATTTGATTTAATTATACTTATCATCATTTTTATTTAAGAAATTATACTTATCTCTCATATAGAAGTAGTCAGTGTAACGTATGTATATAATTAGACATATTTGATATTAGTTTAAAATTGAGTAGTGATCTGTGTAATTTTACTAAAAGTTAGAGGTGATGTAATTTATTTAAATATTTATTTACACAAATATAGGAAGAAAACTTAAAATAACATTGTATTTCGCTGACTTTGTTGTTTTATGGGGAAATTTTCCGCATTCAAGAAAATATAACCATAAACAGAAGTTACAGTGACCAATTTTGTGGGGTTAATTAGGAATAAATAATAATTTATGGCGTAAATATAACAATAAACCGCATGATTTTGTTCTAACCAACCTGAGCAAAAGCCAATCTTGGTGTTCAACACTTGGCATCAAGTTGCAAATTATATACAAATGCATGCAAAATACATGTATAAATATTTTGTAGTTACTTTACATAATTTTCCTTCATATCAATTTTGAAAAAGTTTGTTTGGATAAACTTTTCAAAGTCCTTCAATACTAACAATTCTTCCCTCCTTATTGATAACATGCTGACAGTGTGAATCCTCACAAGTTCCGTTAACTCTATGAGGGTGTTGGTACTAAATTCCTTCACAAATTGTAGCATATTAGCCCAAGTATGCTTTGCTTTTTAATATCAATCTTCCTTGTAAAATATCTATTAAATGGTAAACTTAAGAAAGCACATTTATAACTATAAGTAACTTGATAAAGTTAGAAAAAATATAAATATCATATTTGATATTTCCTTGCTTTATTTATTAAGGTGTAGGTATATGGAATTATTTTATGGTTAAGACCAAAAATTTGACATTGGATATGCTAACAGAGGAAGTCATGTGGCAAAATAACATTGTCTAAATCATCATGTGAAAATTGAACTAGGCATTAAACTGGAAGATATCTTGTATTAGGTTTAATCGATTTAAACAGTCATTCGAGACCGAATGATGTTATATATAATTAATATTTTTATCTATAAATATATAAATATAAAATTTTCTATAATTAATAATTACGTATAATTATATTGAAGTAACATCTCTCAATCTTTTTCTTGGATCAATGTAAAATAAAACATTAGAGTAGTGATCCATTTTTTAATTTGAAGTGAAGTGTTTGGTTCACTTATTGAGTTATTCGGTTTAGTCGGATTTAACATGGTCATACCAAAACTTCTCCAATTCAAAGTAGTCCAACCAATCATTTAATTAAGACTATAAAGTAGATCTGTTTTTAAGTCCAATAATTGACTAGACCAATCAAAGTATCTAGTCTGATCGTGTTTTCACAACATTGGTCTAAATATACCAAAACCAAAAGGTATAAGTTGTTAACCTTTCTCAATAAAGATGGATCTACCATTTCTCCTTTTACAGGTGTCCTTCTAACCAAAAAGCATATCAATGGACGTTTCCTAATAAAAAGATGAGAATACAATATATCATCGTATTAAAAGATAATTTATCTCCTTAAATTTATTTATTATTTTTGACATGTGTCTTATTTCACTTTCCTCTAGAAGTTTTTATTATTATAAAAAGAAAAAAATAAAATACATGTCAAACAATGATTGAATTTAAGGAACTCATATATTACATAATATTGATGTACTATTGCATAGCATATCAAAGGCCATATATTAAAAAACAAGAACACCAAAAAAATCACATTTGTGGGGTATTAGAAATCAAGGGACAATAAAAACAAAATTGTGTATTTCATTCAATATACAGAGAATATAACAGATTTAACCACAACCTAACTCCTAATTATCTAACTTCTAAGTAATTAATCTATTTTACACATATTTATTTTAATCGTGGAAATTATGTAAATGGTAAGTGAGTTTAAAGTAATTATTAGCGGAGTTTAGCAATTATCGCTTTTTTACTTTCTTAAAAAACTCTTATGCTTTATTTGGTTACTAGAAGAAAGTAAGAATAGAAAAAGATGTGAGTAAAGACTAGGGAGAAAGAGAAAGAAGGGAAATAAATTAAATTTTTATAATATTTGGTATAAGAGAAGTATGAAAGAAAAAGAAAATATAGATTTTTTTTTTCTTCTTACTCTTTTTTTATGGATAGAAAGTGAGAAAAGAAATATGATATTATGCTTCAAAAGAATGATATCCCTAAAGTAAAGAAAAGAGAGAATTTTTTTTGTTTTATTAAGTATTATGACACTGACAAGACATGACCTAGTGAGCAATTGCGGAACCACAAATCTTTTCTAGAGGATTGACATGCCAACTAAACAGCACATGATTCTATTAAAGGATTATCACGCTGACTGAATAACACATACAATACTATAAAGCTGAACATGTCATCTGGACACTAAGCTACCTTCTACCATGCGTTAAGGACAAACCTAATATACAACTATGAGAGATTCGACATGTGACAAAATAACCCATCCTAAATAAAACACTGTATCAACCATAATATGGGTACATCAGGGCCGCCCGACACAAATAAAGCAATCCACACCATTATAGGGCAAACTTGGCATGATGGCTTGCATGATTACAATGTCAATGAGGGAATCGACCATGCTCAATCCCTCTATAAACATAGGAGACCCATAAAAGAAAATTTACACTTAATACTCTCACTTATACTCTTACATCCTTATATTCTTTTTATATATCTTCACTCATACTAACTTAAGGGTCAAAGTGCCTTTACATATACCCACCTATGTGGTTCCTCACCAACTTTTGATCGGATTCAAGTCAGATCAGCCTTTAAGCCCGACCTTCATTGTACCGAAGAACAACTTGTAAAAGAAAAAAATGAGTTAAAAATGTAAATCAAATTGTAGAGGTAGAATAACAGAGTGGTACAGAAGTGTTCACAAAGAAAAGGAACACAACTTGAACATTAGATCTCTATAGCACGATAAAGAAAAGGAACTGAATGATATTTTAAATGCAAAAGAATAGAAGACATGACCATAAATTATCAATTCAGCTTGATGAGCATCTAATAGGTAGATGGAAAACAAATTTCGGTGTCAGTATATTGCTGCAGATTCTAAGTTTCAAGAAGGAAAAAGGCCAATTGCCAAAAAAAACACCAACTAAGTTACTTATACAAACTAGATCAATGTATTACATCAAGACTTTATGTGGGAGTTTTGTTTTGAAGGACATAAAATAAATGACTTTGGAAAAAGTTTACCTTATTTGAGAGTTGGGAGAAAGAGATAAAAGAGTTTTGGAGGTTTTCTAAACACTCCACATCCATTTTCACTGTTTCCTAAATTTTTGGGTTTTTCTGAAGACAAACATGTTAAAATATTTCGGTATTTTTAGTAAAATTATTTATGTACATTTCTCAATGTTAATTATATTTTTAAAGAAAAATAAAAAAATATTATTGCATTATCATTACTTTAGTCTCATCCCATCTAATTTCAAACTCACAAACAAGGGAGTGATTTGGTTTCATTCCATTGATCTCTCTCCCTTCCATTTCCCTCATAACTATCAAATATACCCTAAGAGTTCATTTGCGAGTTAGATTTTAGAAATGAATCAAGGAAAATGAACGACTTTGAAGCCATGAAATACATTTGTGAAATGATTCTGAAGTTTTTCCTAGACTATGTTTGAGAGTCTTATTTTAGAGGGGAAATGAAGAGATGACTTTGGATAAAGTCTCTATTGTTTGTGAGTTGGGATAGGTTTTGAAGGTGTTGTGGAGCCCTTTAAAACTATCGGAAAATGATATATCCTCCTACTGAATCCTCTTACTAATCCCCATACTCACAAAAAAGTGACATATGTCACAAAATGATACTTCATTTATTAGTGATTGATTTACAAGTGACATATGTCACTTTTTTGTGGATAGGATGATTAATAGAAGGATTTAGTAGGAGGATATAATAACTCTCCACATAATCATTTTCATGGTTCCCCAATTTGAGTTTTTTTTATAGAGACAAACATGTCAAGAATATAAACATCTTTAGTAAAATTTTATATAATTACATTGTTGTTCATTTCTTAAAAGATGATTCAAGCATATTTGTACTACCTATAATATCCCTTATCTTTTGACTAAAGAACTAATTATATGGTAAATGTGCGGCTTCAATGAATTAATTTTGTCCTTTTTGGTTGGACAAAGGTCATAAATTTTAATTAAATCTATTTTTAACCGGAAATTAAACTAAACTCGAAATTCTTTCAAACTGAGCTGAGTCATATTCGTGAAGTTTAAACGTAATTAACCCCAACTAGGTGTGCCTCTTCTTGTTCGATCTCCTATTCTTCTTTTCTCTCTTCCAAACAGGTATCCACACTCTTCTTGCTATTTTGTTTCATTGCGCGTTGACTCCTCAATTTCTTAAAACTATTTCATCGTTTCTTCATAATTGATTTTATTAAATCTGTACCCATTTTTATCATTGTAATTGTGAATCGTGAGTTTATTTTCCAACATTTTATGAAAATAGAACGAAAACCCATGTTACTTTATGAATTGCAGCGTAGATTATAGACCC